TTCCCACTAGCCATGCGGCCAGCACCAGGGGCAGGTACATGAGGCGGCTCTGGGCTGGCTGGGGTTCACTGCATCTCTACGAGAGACACCATCAGCTCATAGCCCCTGGCTTTCCCCCTGTGCCCCCAGGTGGGCCTGGTGACCCACTGGTTACTGCCGTTCATCTCCCTCCCTGACTGCCTGGCAGAGACCTGGCTGGAGAGGGCAAGGAGGGAGGCCGTGGTGTGGGTCACCCACTAGCGACCCCTCTGGTCTAGTGCTGCATAGCAAGGAGTCCTAGGGATGTGATGTGGGGTGGGGGCTGACCCAGAACCTCCTCCCCCAGACACAGGGAGTCTCCTGAATCACTGCTTTAGGGTCTGGCATCACCAGCATGAGAAACACGTCCCTGCTAGAGTGACAGGGCACTCCCCCCCCCAAGCCCCACTCAATTGGGGGCCACCCTGACTGCCCTCTGTGATGGACTGGGAGGTTGCTCCCTCCCGCTGTTTGTTTGGACTCCCCTCTAATTCCTTCCTTGATTCCCAGGTCTCCAGGACACTCTGCCCCCCCAGCCCAGCAGTGCTTCTCGGGGGGCCTTTCAGACCAGTCCTTAGCCGTGGCACCTGCCTCTCCCTGGGCTGCTGAAAGACCTGGGTGCTGGCAGAGCTCTGGGATGCCATACCCGTCCGTCCCTCTGGCTTGCTTCCCAGATCTCCATGGGGGTCCTGCCCCCCCGCCCCCATGGGACAGCCCCAGCCTGCACTCTGGGGCATCACTCTTGGGCCTGGGAGAGGTCCTGCTGGATGAGCAGCTGCTGCTGGCCGGGATCCAGGCCTCCCTGAGGGACGCCAGCCTGGAGGCTGCCGTGGGTGGAGTGCAGCTTTCCAAATCCTCTGTCTCCTCTCTGCGGTAAGGGGCATGGCAGGGTGGGGGCAAGGGGATGGAGGGGGAGGCGCCCCTTGGTGACCAGTGTGGAGCAGAGGCCAGACCCTTCAGCCCACTTGGCTTCTAACCCAGAACCAGATTGGGGGGCTCTGTGGGCAGTACCCACTGAGCCTGAGAGCGTAGCACGGGCTGCCCTCTGGCTCCCTCCCATCTCTGCTGGGCTGCAGGTCTTGGTACAGCTTGTTCATGCTCCATGGCTCCCGCCGCCAAGGTCCTCTCATGCCAACCTGGCCAGATCGGGCTAGCTCAACCCTGCTGAGTGACAGGAACAGGCAGAGCATTGCACACTAGGAACTGTGGAGTCTACGGGCCACCTGATGGGCAGGGAGGCTGCTGTCTGCGCCATTGCATACGTGTTTGCTGGGGATGGACCCTGCGGGAGTGTGGGCAGCCCACCACCACCAAAGAGCATCCCCATCAAACAGGCCCGAGTTCTCCCCACCTGCCCCTGCTTTCCCTGCCTGGCCCCGTGTCTCCACCCACAGTCCGAAGGTTTCTTCAAAAAAGAACTAGATAAGTTAATGGAGGATAGGTCCATCAATGGCTATTGGGCAGGGATGGTGTCCCTAGCCTTTGTTTGCCAGAAGCTGGGAATGGGCAGCAGGGGATGGATCATTTGATCTGTTCTGTTCATTCCCTCTGGGGCACCTGGCATTGGCCACTGTCAGAGGACAGGATACTGGGCTAGATGGACCTTTGGTCTGACCCAGTGTGGCTGTTCTTATGGCCTCTCTCCCTCTCGCTCCCCAGACTGCAGCAACTGGAGAGGATGGGCTTCCCCACGGAGCAGGCGGTGGTGGCACTGGCAGCTACGGGCCGAGTGGAGGGGGCCGTCTCGCTGCTGATTGGAGGCCAGGTCGGGGACGAGGCTGTGGTGACGTTGGAGAGCAGGGCAGCCTGCCGTGAGCATCTGCTTCCCACAGAGCAAGCCGTACCGTGCTTTCCCACCACAGAATAAAGGGCCCCAGTAATTAACGGTGGAAATAACAGCCCCAAACTGAACCATTGGGTTTGAGATCACCAGGCCCTGAGGGAAGGAAGAGAGCAAAGCCCATTACCGGAAGCACCATGAGCTTGGGGGCCTTCACCCTCTATCCTAAGATGGGGGAGTCCTGTAGGGCTCAGCTCCAGGCCTGGGCTCCATGGGGAATGGCTGTGCGAGAGGATGGGGAAGCAGGAGCGGTGAGGCAGGTGCTGAGCAGGGTGCTACAGGGAGGAAGAGCAGTTGCATGACTGAGGCATGGCTCAGGCTGTGCAGAGGAGTCACTTGCAGCATGGTGCCTCCTACCTTCTCCATCCCTCCCCTCGTGCCAGTCCCCACGGGCTCCGGCCTCGTTTTCTGCCTGACCCATCCCTTCCTTGGTAAGGCCATGCTAAATTTTAACGTGTGTTAGCAGCCAGGTTAGTACTGGCCATTCTGGGCCTCCCAAATGTTTGTTCCAGGGCACAAACCTTTATGATTTAGGCTGGGATTCAGGCCGTGTCCTGGAACTCACATTCAGGGAGCGTCCACACTAGCATGGGCAAATATATTCGCTAATTGGTGACTGAGTAACTGGTGTTAGAAAGCACCAGTGTAGACAGATCCTGTCACTAGCTGGGGCGGGGGAGGGGGGGGAGGCCAGCACTGGGGCCAGACGAACTCCCCAGCCCAGGGAGCTCCAGGTTTAATGGTGCTGCCGGGTGCAGGCGATGCTAGAAAACAGACCAGATCCACGCTTGTATCCTCTGGAGCCTAAACTCTGCCACACATCGTGTCGTCCCAGGCAGTCCCGTGGCATTCGGAGTGCGGGGTTATGCCACCAGCAATCTGGGAATCCTAAACAGTCTGTAACCGTAACATCTCCCCAAAGGCCAACTGCCCCGGAAAGCAGAGGGGAGGGCTAGCCCGGGAAAGGTGCCTGCCAGCTCCCATCCCATTGCCTGGAAGGTGGTACCTGCTTTCTCTGCCTGCCCTCTGGTTGGCTTTACCAAGGTGTTGGCTCCTGGACCCACCAGCTGCCGACATGATGGTGCCCTGCCTACATGGGATTCACCTGGAGACCACCAGCCCTGGTGCTGCAGCCATCACATGGCCCTGCAGCTACTTTCCAGCCTTGCTCTGTCTTGCCACAGGCTCCGAGCCAGAGGGCTGTGAGAGCCAGCGAGCCCTGCCACCATTGCTAAGGGCCCCTGCAGAAGTGCCTGCTGCCTGGCCAGCTGGAAGTGCCCGCCCGGGGAGCTGACCTGTGGCTGTTCTTTGCTGGAGAAATAAAGTTTCACCAAACCCTGGGGAGGCTGCTGGCTGCTCTCATTGCCTGGTGCCGGGCTCAGCCAGTCATTTGCTTCCCTCAGGTCCTTCCCCTTGGTGCAGCCTCTGGGTGAGGGCGGAGCTGATGGGCGCGCCGGGCCTCTAGCCAGCATCCTTCCTGGCTGCAGCAGATGCCCGTCAGCGCTGCTAGTCCCACAGCCTCGCTGCTCCCCACCCCAGCTCTGTAAGCACACAGCCACACTGCCATGGCGCTGAGCTTAGCGACACGTTTTAATGACCTTTAGACCATTTGTCCCCCAGCTGGCCGGGATCACGAGGTACACAATACAAAGACCGGTTCCCTTCCCAGCCGCTTGCGCAGTTGGTGACAGGGTTGCACTGGGTGCTGGTTTCAGACGGGCCTCCCCGCTAATGACCCCAGACTTCCCTGCTCCTGGCCTTTCTCCCCATTTTACAGCAGCTCTCCCAGTTAGTGTGTCTCAGGGCCCACAGGGAAGGGTGGTGGGAGGTGGGGCAAGAGTGTGCTGCTGTTAGGTAGGTTTTGGTTATGTCTCCACCCTCCCCAGCCATCGTTAGCCGAGGGGATGCTGATCAAGGAGGTGGAGCAGGGAGCTGAGGCCTGACCCCTGCCTGTGTCCAGCTATGGCGACTGCGCTTGGTGACACTTTGGCCTCCAGGTGGAAGATCCCTCCTTCCTGGGGGAAGGTGCCCAGGGTGGGGCAGGGGATGCTGGAAGGGGGCCTGCCTGAGGCTCAGCTGGAGCCCCACCCAGGGGTGGTAGCTGTCCCTGCTCCAGAAGAATTGTTGCTCCAGGTAGAGCCTTTGGGGTGTAAGAAGCGGGCACATGGTGGGTGCAGCGAGACTGCCTGGGGTGCCGGGTGCCCCCGCCTCAGTGGCTTCTAGCATCCCATCCCTATCTGCGCAGACACCTTCACAGCACAGCAGCCGGCGTGGGGGCCTGGCTGTTGGGGCACAGGCTGCTCCTCGCATGGTTTGGGGGAAGAATGGGCTGGATGGGGGAAGCCCCACAGCTGCCCCCTGGGCCTGAGGCCTGGACACTCAGAGATGAGTGGGGTGGCCACATGGGTAATTAACCCCCCTCGGCTGCCTTTGCTGAAGCCAGTCCGAGGGCAGGCTGGCTGAGCCAGCAGGGCCTGTGGCAGCCAGAGCCCAGCCCGGTAGGGTTCAAGCAGGGCTCAGCCTGCTTAGCTTGGTTTTCAGTGTTCAGCTGGGGCCCCCCCCCCCTTAGTGCCAGTGTCCAGTGGTACGGGCAGAGCTGCTCAGGGGCTGCCGGGGCTCAAACCCGTAACGGTAACGGACTGGTGGAGAGCCTAGTGCTGGGCAGCGCTACACACGTCCCAGCTGCCCCTGCTCTGGGAGTGGATTCACAGGGGAAAAGGCAGGAACTTGGCTCCACGGGAGCTGAGCCAATCCCTGGGGACTGGGAAGGGCCAAGGCACCATCCCCTGCACCCCCTCGGTGGGGGAGCCAAAGACTGGATTCCTGGGGAGCGCCCAGGATAAACCCTCTGCATTTGGGGGCAGAAGGGAGAACGATGCCCTCTCTGCCATCCCTGCCACGCCGGGGAGCTACAGGCCAAGGTCATCTAGAAGACATCCCACACAATAGCACCAAGAGATTAAGAGCGCCCCCTGCAGTACAATGAGGGGAGCACGGGGTAGGGGAGCCATGAGGAGGCAGCCAGCAGGGGGTCAGTTAGTACACACATAGCACTGGTTACAGGCCTCTAGAAAGAGCCCAAATAAATAGAGTCACGCCGGCCAGCTGCATGGCCTGGGAAGGCTCCTCAAGCGTTTCTTCATGCGACAGTCCAGAACAATGTGGGGGAGGGGAGGTCCCCAAGGGGGCCTTAATGCTTGGGGAGACGACTCCTGCTCGGGGTGGCTGCCCCTCTTCACTTGCTCTCGTCCTGGGCCGTCTGGGCCAGCTGGTGTGGGCTGCTGTAGGCTGCCAGCCTGTCGCGCTTGCCCCGGTGGAAGCTGGGGGCGCTAGTGGGGAAGGGTTCGGCGCCTGAACCCGGCTCTGGTTCTAGCATGGGGAGAAAAGCAGAGTCAAATCCAAACGTTTCTCCAGCGAGACCCAACCAGGGAGCTTGGACGGTCGCAGGGCATTGGCTCTGTTGACCAGCTAGTCAGTGTCCAGCTACTCCTCAGCCCTAGTGCGGTGCCAGCGTACTGGTGCCTTGGCAGAGCACCCAGCAGCCATGTGTCTGCCCTGCTGCTGCAGGCCAAAGCGCTGGGCATTGGCTAGTCTCAGGGAGCCATGTTCTGTCGGCGGCAGCAGCGAGAAAGCTGCAGAGTTCAGCCTCTAATCTCCCCAGATCCCAGGGTTTGGTTGTGCCATCTCCAAGGACAGTCGCATGGTGTCCAGGCATGTGCCTGACACAGCAGATGTGGCTGTTTCAGAAGAGCTGCCAAGGAGAGAATGGTGCCCTGATTTGAATCCATATGTTGGATCCAGGTTTTTTTCCCAGGGAAGAGGAAGAGTGTGTGTGGGAGGGGGCGGGGGGCACAGTTCTGGTGCTCCTGGGGGCCCCTAAATTGGCTGGGCCCCCTGGGCATGGGCCTGTGCATTATACTGCCACTGCCTGGAACCCTTTGCCCTCCCCATGAAGGAGTATGTGATCAGCGACAATGCAGCCACATGAAGCAACACTGGGCAGCAAAGTGGGAGAGTCAGGTTCAGCTCTGGGCTCTGGCTTCCCCCTCCAGGTCTGGGAGAGGTTGTTTGTCACTTCACGTCCCTGCTCTCCAGCCAGGTGACGTATGCGGCATGTAGACAAAGGAGTCAAGGCCCAGCTCCTCAAAGGTCTTTAGGGGGGCACCTAAAGACCTTCATGGATCTGGGTCCAACTGCGCACTCTCCATTGCAGCTACTCCAGAGGGCGAGCGACTGGGGGAACGCTCCAATCTAAGCAGTTGGCTGGGGCTGGCGGGTGACCACAGAGCCCAGAATAATCCAGCATGTTAATGCAGCACCTCTTGGACTCAGCCAGGCTCCGGTGCCATGAGCTGGGCTCAGAGCTCTGGGGCTGCCCGTTTCGATGGCATTCATTCGACAGCCTGGGCAGTGGCAGCTGAGAGGAGCGGTCAGGGGCTGTTAATGACAACGGGAGGCAGGATTCTGCTCCCACTGAAGCCAGGTTTAAGACCCTGCTGTGATGGGCTCAGCACTTCCAGCCCATTACACGGACCATCTGCACCTGCGATTTTCCAGCGTCCCTGGCCACAGGCAGGTAACACACATTGCGCAGGACCATGATCAAGGCAGCATCGATCCCCATACAGAGCCATCTGTCGTGCCCTCTCTCCCACAGGGCAGAGGGAAGGAAACCCTCCTCCAAGCTAAACCAGGAATGGTCAGTGCACCCGAGCGATACTCAGTGCAGACGCCCAGGGCACTGTTGTGCCATAGCTCATGCTGCTAATTTCCAATGGTGCCACGAGAGGACGAGCCCCACAGAGCGGCAGGACAGACCCAGGCAGACTTGCCTTGCAGTCTGAGTTAGGGATGTCCCACTTGTGGCTTCAAGTACTAGCACCTCTTCCCCCTCCCCAGCTGGCAGTTACGAGACAGGAAGGGTTGTATCAGCACCTAACTGGAATCCCAACCATCTGGCTCCAAACACACAGAGGAGTTGTCATCCACAGACTCGGCATGCAAAGGGGAGCCCACGGATACAACGGGGTCCCCGACAAAGGGCTGGCTCCGAGCGGTCCAGCCATTCAAGGAGTCCAGCGCACACGGTTCAGAAATCATGCTGAGGAAGAACAGAGTAGGAAAAGTTGAGCCTCTTGTTACCTGGCCAGATGATGGCTTCCAGCAAGGTGACCCTTCTAGCCAGGAGCTCCAGCTGGGCCTGCTGCTGTAGGAAGGATTGTAAGCTAATGGCCTAGTGGAGATCGAGAAGAGCACAGAGTGCGAATTCATTCACCCTCGACGGGGGAAGGGAGGGGGATCCGTCACTGAGGGCTGAGTCAGGGAACCAGGACAACAGCTTGGAGGGCTGGGGGAGGAACTTCCTCTGCGAGGAGAAGGGATCCCCAAGGGATCTTAGACGGCCCCAGCCAGGCGATTGCGGAGGTGAAACGCTCTCCCCTCTCTCCCTGGTGTCAGGGCCAACAGGCTGGTCTGAGGAGCAGGAGGCAGGTTCCAGGCTGTTGGATGCATACCACCAGGCTCCAGGGGAGAAGGCTGCACAGCTCACCAGGAGCAGACAGGGTCAGACCTCTAGCTCCCATTGAAATCAGAGTCCAGGTGGGAAAAGAAGGAATCCTTTACTCCTAAACTCAGATCCATCCCCCTGAACTGGGGTTCCCTGGCTCTCTCTGCTCAGGCAGCACTCACCTCCTCTTTCGGGCCCTCCCAGAATGTCTTGCTGGTGTGGGAGGCTCCCCCTCTGCATCTGTGGGGGGAACACCCCCAGGGCCCCCTGCACTCCTTTCCTATCAACTCCTCTCCTGCCGCCTCATGTCCCTCGGCCCTGATCATTACTCCAAGCGCTGCGGGATGCAGTGCCTGGGAAAGGACCGGCATAAAATCAAGGGATTCTGAAGTGGCAGCCCCACACAACGACCCCAGCCCTTTCACCATTAAAGGGCACCAATCGGATGCCACTGGGACTGAGCGGCTGTTTTTAGTTCATCCTTAAAAATATTTCAGTGTCAGTTTAAAGGTGCTTCTCCTCTGCCCAAGAGAGCCTCTGCCAGGTGCTCAGGGTGTAGGCGCCTTGGGGCAGGGGCCAGCACCACGGGGCCCCAATACAAATATTAAACCACCATCACAGAAAGGGAAATCTGTAATTAACAAGCCCATCTGCCTGCTGTCACTAGGGGGGGTGCTCCAACGGCAGCAGATCCCTGGGGAACACCCCAGTACTCAGTCTGTGGCATGCACGGCAGGTCCATTCTCCGCAATGGGAGCTGCCCCCATTTTCCGCAGGGTGGAAGCTGCCCCCTTCCCCACTGAGTTCAGATGAATCCAAGCGGTCGTTCCCCACAGCGCTGGTCTAGCTGCACGCCCTGGTGATGTCGGTGCCTGGGTGAGTGTGTTGGGGTTTGGGGGTGTGCTGTTGTCCTGGTTCCCGGGACCCTCCCCCAGTGCGGAGCAGGGTGGGGAGGTCTGGGATTTGCCTCCTCCAGCGGCTCCATGACATCAGTAGGTGGGAGGCCACTGTGATGTCATCAAAGCGTGGGTTTCCACAGTTGCCCTAAGCCCTGTTGAAGTGGGATGATGTCATCGCAGGCAACACCGCCGACCCACATGGCAGGCGGACTAAATCCCACCGGCTGCCATAAACAAACAGGCAACGCTCCCAGTGCAGGGAGGTGTGGGGCCAGCAAGCCCCAGCCCCAGCCCACCCCACGGCCTGACTCACTGGCCCTCCTCGCACCATGGGCTGAGCAGGACCTTGCGCTGGAAGCAGGGAGCACTGTTTGTTTGGTGGCAGCGTGCGTGGGCCCTCCCGCGTCCTGCCCTGCCCCTCGCTGGGAGCTCAGCCCCACACCAGCAGCCTGGAATTCTGTCCTTCTGTCTGTCTCTACTCACCATAAAGCCCAATCATTGTTTCCAAGATTAAAACCCTCTCAGCTAAAATCTTCAAAGCCTCTCGGAGCTGGTGTAACCCCTCCCCCTGTGGACGAAAGAGACAGATCCAGCCGTGAAGGGAATGCCCGCGGGTGCCCTCCGACCCCCGGGTCCTCAGGCAAAGTGGGGGGGGGAGGGGGGAGAAGAGGGATGAACAGCCCAGCCACCTTCTCTCGAGGGGGCGTGGGCCGCTGCTTAAAAAGCCCCTCCCGCCCAGCTGGGCACTGACATAACAGGCATGCACACGCTGTGCCTCAGGGAGCAGGCTGGGCTGGGTGGCCATTATGCAGCATTCCCATGGCACAGCTCATGACAAACACAGATGCCGCTGGGGAGGGAAGAGCTAGGTCAGCCCCCGGGGGACCTGGAAAGGGCATGAGACCCAGACTGAGCAGCAGCGCCCTGGCTGAATCCCATTGCTGGCCACTATCCCCTGCCCCTTCCCCCACCCCTGCAGGTGCGAGTCTGTCCCATCCAGCGAGCCCCATGGTCCCGTTGTGCAGCATGGCTGCCATGCCTAGCCCAGAGCTGGCTGCATTTCAGAGCCTGGGGGAAGTGACTGCTGAGTGCGCAGTCTGCCAGGGCTTTGGGGGGCTCAGGAAATGCAGTAGCCTTTGAAACAGTCTAAACTGCTGCCTGTTCTGGCTCCAAAGCACGGCTCTCCTGTCCCACAAGGACCCTGGCAAATCTCTGCCATGAGGAGTGGGGTGCTCTACTCCTGGGGGCCCTGCACTGCGCCCCTCATTCATCTTTGTTAGTCCCCAAGTGGGAATAACTGGGAGCCGCAGTGCTCATGTTGGCCTGCAGGGGCCGCTGTTGGGCCACACCAGGATTTTCACTCTGGGGCTGCCTTCAGGGGGCTTGCACCTCAAGACCCCCCATTTTATCTCCTGGCTGTGTCAGCTGATGGGGTTCAAGCCGGGACAAGTCTCCTCCCACCCCTAGGGCTCAGGCCCCTGGCTCTAGCGGGAGCTGCAGCAGCACGACACAGACAGGAGCCTGGTATATAAACGGGTGTCTGCGCTGAGGCTGCTGCACACAGAGAGACCCTGGGGCTCTCTGGCTCCCCAGCTCTCAGCCTGCGCTGCTCAGGGCTCTCCAAGGCACTGGGCACCCACAGCCTCCAGTGAGGCCGATGGGAGCTGCCGGGTGGGCCTGGCCTGGCCCAAGCGCTCCTGAAACATGCTGCTGACGCCTCTCCCCATGGGGCCTCTGGCAATGGTGCAGCTTTGGGGGTGGGAATGGGGACACCGCTCCACACTCCCTGTTCTGGGCTGCCCCAGGGGCTGGAACAAGGGCAGCCAGTGAGCCTGGGCTGGCGCTGCAGCATGAGCCCAGCACGCACCCTGGAGGTCTCCCCTCAATCCCTACTCCAGGGCTGGCCTCGGCAGGGCCTGCTGGGGGAGCTTTAGGGCTCCCCCAGCCCCAGGGCAGCGCCCCCCAAGCCAGATGCTCCCTCTGCCCCTGGTGACTTCGGCTCCCCTCAGGGCCAAGCTGGTTCTGGGCTTTGGAGGGTTGGATGCTGCTGCAGCCCCTGCAATTCCTCCTGGCTTTCTGAGCATCCAAGTGCCCAGGGCATGTCCCTGGGCCGGGGCAGGGGAGACACCCAGAGCAGATCTCCTCTGTTCCTGCTCCCCAACCCAAGCACCCCTCGTCCTCCGCCGCCCACCGAGATTCACTGCCAGGGGGCAGCAGAGCGTGGGGGTCAGGCGCCAGCCAGGGCCGTGTGCGGGGCTCTCCCAAGTGCAGGGAGGGGGTGGTGAGAGACGGGGGATGGGGGGCATGCAGTCTGGGGACAAGGAGGAGCTAGCTGGTGCCTGTCAGCCAGTGGGCGGGGGGGGCCAGGCAGGGCTGTCCCAGCAGCACAGGACAGCTGCTAGCCTTGTGCCGGGGCGCAGCAGGGGGCAAGAGGGCGCATGCTGCGGGTTAGTAGCAGGACTCACTGCAGCCAGCAGGCAGATGGAGAGACATGTAAAGAGAGGTTCCCACAGCTGTATCAATCGCTAACCCCACAACCAGGGCGAGGGGGGCCGGAAGCCCTGGCACCACCCACTTCTCTGGGCCAGGCCTGCCCTGCGGCTCCACACAGTCCAGGCACTGCGGGGACAGACCCAGCTTCACCATAGGCACTAATATTCGCACTGGCCTGGTGGGGTCCCGTCCTGTGAGCCGGGCCCCTGGCGCTGGCCCCTGCCCCCATCCCCAGAGAGGCCTCTTCAGCTTTGCGCAAAGGGATAAAAGTGGGAGGTGCCAGTGCCTCCAGCCAGACACAGCCCCGAGAGCGGAAGGGCTGAGGAGTGGGCCCCAGGGATGGGGGGTGATGATGGGAAACATCCCGGGGGGGAGGGGGTGGGGAAGAAATGGAGCACGAGAGACAGAAAGAGAGAAAGATGGATGGAACGTGGGCTGAGCTCCAGAGGGACCAGGGTGCTCAGTCTGGGCTGCCACCATGTCCCACCTAGGCTGGAGCAGGTGAGGGGAAACAAGCCATGGGCTTTGGCTCCATGCCACAAGCCACAACCTGCTAGCGTCATTAATTCCCCTCCGCGGTGCCATCCCGGTGGCAGCCTGGCAGATCCCAGCAGCCCGTCCCCTCTTCGGAGCTACACCACCAACATCCACCCATGCGGCTTCCCCACCCCGGCAGCCACTTCCTCGCCTTGCACCTATGCCAAGCCCCGCCCCGCCCCGCCGGGCAGCTCGGAACGGCACCCTGACCTTTCACCCCATGGCGAGCCCCCCTGCAGCAGCCAGGGCCGAAGGCGTGGCCAGCTGCGGATGTGTCTGTGTACGAGAGGCGACGGGCAGCACAGGTCTTGGGGAGGCCCAGGCTGGAGTCTGGTTCAGGATAGCGGGGGCGAAGTCAGGCTGGAAGGGGCCCAAAGCTTTCCCCCACCTTGCCCCGCGTGGCAGCAATGGCAGTGGAAAGGCCCAGAATTAGCTGGGTGTCGTGCTGGGCGCCCCATGGAAGGGGCCAGGTCCAGAGACTGGCAGGAGGAGGGAGCTCCTGGCCATGGCCCTGCCAGGGGCATTTCCATTGTGAGGGGGATGGAACGCGCAGCGCCACAGCGCCATGGCAGAGGGGCTGGGCCCTGCAGGCTCTAGGGAGCCCAGGGCTTCACGCTGGGCAGGGTTTCTGCTCTCCTAGGAGATGGCGCTCGAGGGCAGGGCAGGGCAGGGGGGTTCTAAGCAGCTTCTATGCCATGAGGGGAGAGAAGGGGCTCTGTGGTCCCGTCCCCTCCACATGGGACACCGCGTTAACCAGGGATGCCAAAGGGAGACCCCAGCACTGCCTCTGGCTTTGTGCCCTTCTCTCTGGAGCTGGGGCCGCACCAGGCCCATGGAGCCTGGCAGAGCAGGCTCTGTCTATGGGGCTGAGGGGTCGTGGCAGGATGCTGCAATGCAAAGCCCTACGCCCCCCCGGGAGGCTGGTGCCAGGGCCGGGTGCAGTGTGCAGAACAGCAGTGGGTGAGTGAGCGACTGGTGCCCTGTGCTTACCCAGGTGCCCTTGTCCCCCTGTTTGCCTTTTGGACCCGGCTGCCCCTGAAACAGAGACAAGAGAGATGCCAGCGTGAGCCGGAGCCAGCCCAGGGCGGCTGACACAAGGGGCACCTGAGGATGAGAAGCCTGGGGGGAGGGGACAGAAGAGGCCTGCTGGGAGGGGCATACGGGAAGGATCCCCCCTTCCCCAGAGTGGAGAGCACAGGGCACCCCCCAGCATGAGGAGGGACATCTTCCCTTCCCCCACCCCCAGGCAGGCCCCTTCCCACAGAACAGGGGACACCCTGGGATGACCAACCAGTTGGCATCAACTCCTGCCCAAGCTGGGACTCTGGCCTTGGCGCCCATCCTCCCTCCAATGTGTAACAGACCCACAGAGGCCAACTGAACCCTTCCCAGCGTGGGGCAGGGGGCACTGGGGGAGATGGGGAACACACAGCTCTCTCCCAGTGTGGGGCAGGGGGCTCTGGGGGAGATGGAGAACACACAGCCGTCTCCCAGTGTGGGGCAGAGAGCTCTGGGGTGAACGGCACAGACAGCCTCTCCCAGCGTGGGGCACTGGGGCTCTGGGGGGAGGGGGCACAGACAGCCTCTCCCAGCGTGGGGCGGAGGGGTCTGGGGTGGGGGGGTACAGACAGCCCACTCCCTGCCTGGGGCGCGGGGCTCTGGGTGTGGGTTGGGGGCTCTGGGGTGAGGGGCATGAGGAGAGGCCCCTCCCCATGTAGGCCGTGGGGCGCTGGAACCTTGGATCAGGGGCTCCCCCCAGCATACAGAGCACTGGAATGGATTTGAGGGATCAAGTCCCACAACATACATGTTCCCCGTCCAGGCCTCTGCTCCCAGGAGAGCCAGGAGGGCCCTAGAGAGAGAAGGAGGAGGCGAGTGACTGGCCGTGGCCTGGCACGCTGCCCCAGCCCCTCCGGCATCTCAGAGACAGCCAGGCCTCAGAGTAAGGAGCCATGGGACAGCACATGGCCGTTGGGCAGACCCCGGCCCCTCGTGTGCCTGTTCATCTGGCACAGCATCGCCCACAGGGGAGCAGCCGCAGGCCCCGTGAGCCTGAGAATGGTCTCGGCCAGCCCCAGGGTGGAGGGCACAGCCTGGGAATGGATGGATGGGGAGAGCCGTTTTTCTCCCTCTGCTGGTGGAGGCGGCACTGCCGGCCTTGGAGGTGGAAGGGGTCCCCTATGGAGCCCCGACACTGTCCCTGCCTCTGTGCCCAAGCCTGCCCCAGGAGGGAACGTTGTCTCCATGGCCTCTCTGCCCAAGCTGCCAGTGAAGAAGCCGGTTGTAGTGGCAGAGACAGAGGCACGTGTCCAGCAACCCACCTCGTCTCAGACAGGCCCCTGGACAGGACACCAGTCTGAGAGCGAAGGGTCTGCGCTCTGCCCCACTGGATGGCCACAGAGCCAGGGAGCTGCTCCTGTGAGTGGTAACCCCTCCACCCACCAGGGCTGGGCTCCAGCCTCTGGCAACGGCCCAGGAAGCGGTCGGGTGGCAGGGGGCTGGCTGGTCCCAGGCCCTGCAAGACATAGGCAGTGCCTGCTGGCCCGGCCCAGAGCAACGCCAGAGTCTGCGCCTGGCATTTCAAAGGCAGGATGCCCCTGCTCCACCACTGTCCCTGCCCTCAGCCTTGCCCCGTGCACCCCTCTGCAGCCCCGTCCCCATGCCGCGTGGCAGGGGCTGGGGGTCACTCACTCTGTCTCCTTTCTCCCCTGGGGGACCGGTGGCTCCGTCAGCACCTGGCACTCCGGGTAAACCCTGCACAACAACGACAGGATCAGCATCCTGGTTTCAGGGGCTGCTCTCCCCAGCCTGGCCACAGCCTAGCTGAAACCACTGGAAGGGGCTGGCTCCAGATGCCCAGGCGATGGGGGGTTCTTGGGTATCCAGGAGAGGGAAGGCAGTTCTTGAGTGCCATGGGGAGAGGAGAAGGGGTCTTGTGACTCAGGGAAGGGGTGACCTGGGGCAGCAGATCATGTACCCACCCCAACAGGCGAGATGAGATACTCAGGCCCTGTCCCCCACCCCATGGGTCGCTCCCCGTGCCCCCTGCCTCTTCTCTCCCAGATACAGCACTTACATCGTGCCCCGGAGGGCCTGGCAGCCCGACTGGCCCTGGGGGGCCCAGAGGACCTGGAACAAGAGGAGCAGAACACACTGTGTCATTACGCCCCATATTCTTCATAATAATATTATGATATGAGTATGGCATAATTATGATGTATTTTGTGCAAGATAAGGCATGTGACATATCATTGAAAAGGTTCTGATTTACTGAATATGATTATCTCATTTGTATGCATGAATCATTTTGGTATCTGAAGTTAGGAATATTGTCTATGTATCTAGTACACCTGGGGAATGCCCACTAGGCAGCATGCAATCAGTCTAGAAGGCTGGCTAGGATAGGCCATTAGGGAGAACAATAGGTCTTAGAAGATGCTAATCTCCCACTGGGAAGCCTTCCTGGGGACGTTGCAAACAGCCTCTGAGTCATGGCTGCGGTAGCCCTACAGGGACATGTGACCAAGTCCCCTGGTACTGGACTCCATCATAATGCTAGTGTTTTTCCACTGACCGGGCGTGGGAATCGAACTGGGAGACAAAGGATTCCCGCCATATGCAAAAACTAATTAAGGCAGGGGAGTGACATCAACATGGTTTGTTCTTCACTGACCCACCCAAGAAAGAGGGCTGCTGGAAACACCTAAGGAAAAAAAAAAGACAGAACTAGGGGAGAAGGGCTGAAGCCAGGCTAGAGAATTGTCTGGCCTGTGACAGGAATACCTGGAGCTTTAAGCTGCAGGCAAGTGCAGTTTGCCTTCAAGAATCTCTGCAATCTGCCCAAAACAACATTTAGGGCGAGAATTTGTTACACATATCCAATTTCTTTAGTCTATTAAGCTTAGATTGCCTATTCGTTTTATTTGCTGGGTAATCAGCTTTGATCTGTTGCTATCCCTTATGATCACTTCAAATCTCTCCTTTGTAGTTAATAAACTTGTTTTGTTTTGTTTCAGACCAGTGTGTGGAACTCATTCCTTGGGGCAGAAAGCCGTTGCATCTCTCTCCACATTGAAGGAAGGGGCGAATTTCAGGAGCGTACGCGGTGCAGTTCTCTGTGCAGCACAAGATGGTGCAATTTGGGGTTTACACTCTGGGGGGGGTGCACTTGAGTACTGGGCGGTTCCTTAGCTGAGCCTCCCCATGCAGAGCTGATCTCAGCATCTGTGTGTCCCCCTACTTGTATGTGTGCTGGTAAAGTGCAGTCTGAAGCCTGGGGAAGGGCTTGACAGGCTGCATAGCAGTACAGTGTAAAGGGAGCCCAGGCTGGTGGGTCAGGTGGGCTCAGTGGCACCCCAGGGGTGGCACCCCCTCAGCTGGCAGCACCAGGCTCATATCCCTGCTGTTACACCCATCAGTTGGCGGCACATTCCCATGAGATGTGTATCCCTCAGCTTGGAATCCCTTGTGCCAGCCTTGCCCTGGGCAAAGTCCATCCCATAAAGCCCCATGGAGGCCGTGGCGAACTGGAGGGAGACCTCCACTGGCTGGGGTAACCAGCTACCTGGATATCAGGGCTCCAGTGAGGAACAGGGAGGAGGGGAACTTACCCATTGGCCCTGGGGGTCCCGCAGGCCCCATGGTGCCAACGTTGCCGGATTCGGTGAAGGTGTTTGACAGAAGCGGGTCCCCTGGGACATGGAGGGAGGAGAGATTAGAGGAGACTGCCAGGCAGTGCTGGCGTATAAGGACTCTGAAGAACCCCCTTTTCCTCCTGGAGCCACAGTGAAATGGGCCCAACATCCCTGAGCGTGGGCCAACTGCACACCAAACTGGGCCCAGTCCAGCCGTTCGCTCAACGAGATCTGGGCAGAGGGCCAGATCTGCTGGGTATGGCACAGCAGGGACACAGCAGCAAGCCAGCCACTCGGAGACACAGCTGCTCAGACTCACGCCCGCACGTGCCAGCATGCACGGGCCACCATGGTTACCAGCAGGGGTCAGGCACGGGCCTTCGGCACAAGCCTCTCCCACTGACTGAGCGTCAGGCTCTTCTCAATGCTCCAGCCGCTGTCTGAATCACACACACTTTGCCCGTGTAGTCCATGGGCACTGACTGCCATGCCTGGCAGTCCTCGTTCAGACACATATACCCGTCCCTGCACATTCAGACATGCATGCCCAGCTCCATACATGTGGCCAAGTGGCGAGGGCACTGGACGGGGACTCAGGAGAGCTGGGTTCTGTTACCTGATCTGCCACTAACCTTCTGGGTGACCTTGAAAAAGTCACTTGCTCTGTGCCTCCGTTTCCCCATCTATAAAATGGGGATAATGCTATTGCCTTCCTCTGTAACACCCTTTGAGATCAAACACTGAAAAGAGCGATACAAGAGCGGGGTACTATTGTCTGCAGAGGCACACGGACACAGTTGGACAGGCATGGGCGCACATGCAGCTGGAAGCCTTGCCCAGAAATGGTTTGATCTGTGCCCAAGCCAAGTGGTTTTAGTTTAGCATGTGTCCAGAAGCTGCACTTTAGCTCATGGAGGTGGGCTGCTAAATCTGGCCACTAGGGGGCAGAGCAGGCCAATCCAATCGAGGACAAGGGGCCATATTAAATGTATCCACTGGAACCTGCAGCCATGGAAGGAGAGCATCTGCTGGGGGTGCTCTACACAAGTCTCAGCTGAGGGACAGCCTGGCCCCCCTGCTCTGCCTCCCTCCCAGCCAGACAAGGCCACTGATCTGGGACCCAGCGCAGAGGAGACGCGCAGGATCCGAGTCCTTGCCTTGCATTGTGCCCCTTGTCACATGGAGGGACCCAGCTGGAGATGACCCCTGGTCTCTTCCTGCTGACATTCCCTCGGGACTGCCCAGGCAGGCCCCACTACAGCGACGGCTCACACGCCGGACCCTGCAGCAGTGAAGGGGTTAACATCTCTAGCTGAGGTACAGCTAAGGCTCCCGCTCCTTGTCAGCAGCCCTGAGTCATGGCTTCAGGCACTGGCACCTGCCCAGTGAAGTCACCTCAGCGCAGTGCTGACGCTGCTACAGGTGCTGCTGCTGCAATAGTTTCTGGGGCCGGGTCACCTCGCTGGCACAGCTCCGCTCCCTGAGGGCTGTGCACTGCGTGAGGGGTGGCAGTCCGCCTGGGTACCCACTGAAGTAATAACACCACCTAGCTCACACCCAGCACTTGTCATCAGGAAGTCTCACAGTGCTGGACAAAGGAGGCCAGCGTCATCATCCCCAGTTCACAGAGGGGAAACTGAGGCACAGGGCGGGGAAGTGGGTTGCCCAGCAGGCCAGAGCTGGGAATAGAAGCCATGTTTCTGGAGGCCTGGTCCAGTGCTCGCTTCACTAGGCCACATGCCAAGGCTCTGATGAGGACTGTGGGTGCCAGGAGCAAGGCGAGGGACCCTGGCTCCCAGCGCGGGAATGAGACAGGCAAAGGAAACCCACAGCTGGGCTCAGGCCCTTTTTTTTTTTGTTGCTTGTCTCTGATGGAGAAAGACGCCCTAGAATGGTTTAATATTTTACATTCAAATATCAAGTCTCATCTAAACAGGGAGACTTTGTGGCTGACTGGAGAACTGGGGCATCCCATGGCAGTAAAGATGAGCCCTGGGATTTCATCCGCTGGTCTGACAGGCCAGAGACCCTCAGACAGTGACTCCCCCTCGAGCCCCTACCTTCTGAGTGGCTGGTCCAGGATCTGAACCGGAGGGCCTGCCCCTGTGCTCCGTGTGGGAGCGTTCCGCTAGCACGCCAACGCCCACTCAGCTCATCCAACTCCAACACGGGGAGAAAGGGTCCCCCGCCCCTTTAATGAAAACGGGACAGCTCACAGCATACACCTCCAGCAGAGCCGGGGGAGACCAGACTTGCCGTTTCTGATATTTCTAAGCAGAAAAACCCTTTAAAATCCTCCAACGCCAGCCCCTCCCCAGCTGCCTTTCGCCCTCAGAAGGCAGCCACACGGCCACAAGCACATTATTTTTGTCTCCTTCCTGTCACTGTGAAGACTCATGGTGATGTCAGCGTGCTGCTACCTAGTGCAAACGCAGGGTAACTACAGCATCAGGCAAAGGACAATTAGGAGACTGGCGTGAGACACAGAGCGAGTCCAATGGGACTGTTTTAGCTGCATCTGACTGAGTGCAGGAATCGGCTCCTGCCCGCCTCAGTGCCAGAGAGCCCGACACGGTAACTGGCAAGGGCTTCCAGATACATGGTTCTTCAAGGACCCAATGACACCCACTGTCTGGGTAGGCTGGTGCCTGCTCGGTGCTTGGCTAAGAGATCCCACACCAAGGGAAACCCAGGCGCTGTGGGAAGAGCAGCAGGTGGTGCCCCGAGCCAGTCCCAAGGACATGCCCCAGTACAGTGTCTCAGTCACATCAGACACAAGCTGAGATCCTAGCCACAAACGGTTATCAATGAACCAATGCTGGGCTTTATTGTAAGGAGCTAGCTCCTGCCCCCCGTTCCAAATGGAGACAGCACTCTCCTTCACTTCCTGTGCCAAAGTGGTGTGTAGCAATACAGATACTAGGAATAGCAAGGGTTAAATGTGTACTTCACAGAGAGAGGAAACCACTTGCCCCAGATCACACTGAGCCAGAAAGAGAACCCAGGAGCCCTGATGCCCAGTGATCTAAACCAGCGGCTCTTTAGTGACGCTCCCATAGAATCACAGAACTGTCGGGCCGGAAGGGACCTCGAGAGGTCATCAAGTGCAGCCCCTGCGCTGAGGCAGGACCAAGTCAACCTAGCCCGTCCCTGACAGGTGTTTGTTCAGCCTGTCCTTAAACCTCCCATGGCGGGAATTCGACAACCTCCCTTGGACGCCCTTTCCAGAGCTGAACCGTGAGTTACAAAGATTTCCCTAATATCTAACCTAAATCTCCCTTGCTGCAGATGACACCCATCACTTCTTGTGCTACCTTCATGGGACATGGAGAACAACTGATCACCGTCTTCTTTAGAACAGCCCGGAACATATCTGAAGACTCTTATCAGGTCGTCCCCCCCCAGCCTTTTTTTCTCAAGACTAAACATGCCCAGTTTTTCTAACCTTTCCTCATAGCTCAGATTGAGCATCTTTGTTGCTCTTCTCCAGACTCTCTCCACATCTTTCCTAAAGTGGGGCACCCAGAAGTGGGCGCAGTGCTCCAGCTGAGGCCTCACCAGTGCCGAGTCGAACGGGACAATTGCCTCTCCTCTTTTACATACCACACTCCTGTTAATACAGCCCAGGATGATAATAGGCTTTTTCGCAACTGCATGACACTGGGGACTCACAATCAATTTGTGATCCACTCTAACCCCCCGATCCTTCTCAGCAGTACTGCTGCGTAGCCAGTTATTACCCATTTTGTCATTGTGCAGTTGGTTTTGCCTTCCTAAGTGAAGCACTTTGCACTTGTCTTTATTGAACTTCATCTTTTTGATTTCAGACCGGTTCTCTAATTTGTCAAGGTCGTTTTGAATTCTAATCCTGTCCTCCAAAGTGCTCGCAACCTCTCCCAGCTTGGTGTTATCTGCAAATGTTATAAGCTTCCTCTCCAGTCCACTAGACAAGTCATTAATAAAAATATTGAATAGTACCGAACCCAGACTGACTCCTGTGGGACCGCACTAGACACGTCCCCCCAAGTTCAACAGTGACTCATTGTATCACAACAGAAAAGGGGGTTGGGATCCCACCCCACAAAATTATTAAGGAAGGTTAGGTGATTACAAACCCCTGTAGTGTGTTCATGCCCCCTGAGGGGGTGTGCTGGTAACTCCCTGCTTGAGAATCCCTGATCTAAACCATTGTATTGCACTACGGTGATCATTTCCACTAGCCAGTCTCTCCTGGGCGGCCAGTCCCAGTGCTCTGCTGCCTGAGCTGCAGCCATCCTGTCTCACTGGCTGCCTGGGGTCACTGCACATGTGGGCACTGGAGGGCAAGGGTGCAGCGTGGGTCTGAGTGGGGGGAGCAGATTGCGAGTCTGGCAGGGTGTGGCGTGTTTGTGCCTGGATGAGCAATGGTACCGGTGGGCGTGCATGCAAACGAAGGCTGGCATGTGGGGGCTGGGTCCTTCCACTGAGCCCTCTCTGACAATTTGCTGGAGAGAAAGCTCCGAGGGGCCGGGGGAGTGAAATCTGACCCCGCTCCCTCCCAGCACCACCTCTGGGGGCAGGGACAGGGCAGAGCTGCTGCAGCTCCAGCCCCATCCGGTGTCTCCTTGGACAGTCACTTGGCCAAAGCCAGCGGTGCCAGGAATCGAGCCCAGCCTGCCCAGCTCCCAGCCCCTGCCCGTCAGCACTTTACAGCCATGTTCATACTGACTCGCTGGCAAAGTGCCAGGGCCTTTAATGAGCACAGGAGGGCAGGACCTTTCATCTCTCCCCCGAGTGCCATACTGGGACCATCCCCTACTGACTCCCCCACTGCAGCCCAGCGCCCCCAGCACATGCTCAGTCTCCAACCAGGTCCCTTCCCCCCTCCCTCCCAGCTACTTACTTGGGTCAGCGCTGCGGGATATTGTAGGCCCCACTGGGGCAGGGGGCCCTGGCGGACCCGGGGGGCCTAGGAAGGAAGAAGAAAGGCAGGAAAGATCTTGAGGGCTGAGCAAAAGCAACTCTTGCTTTACAGTTGCTGGCGTCCCCTGGGCAGGGCCACCACGCGGGGACCCTTCCCGCACAGCACAGCTGCCATGCTCGTGGGCACGGCCGCCCTATAGTACAGACCATGCCTGAGTGAAAGGCATTGTGGGTATTTCCTTAGCCAGGGTGGGAGGACGAGGCCAGATCTGCAGCGGGCTCCAGGCAGTCCTGCCCCACCAGCCAGGCAGCCAGTGCTAGCAGGGTGCTCATCTCCCATGCTCCAGTGCTGTGTGGGGCAGACCCCAAGCTGCCATGTGCTGACGGAGCTGCCTTGGGGATTGGGGTGCCACCCCCTTCTCTCAGCCCTGGATGGAAAAAGCTGCACAATGGCAGAGCCCCGAACTGTCCTCAATACTCTGGATCTGGATGCGTGACTTATCCCACCCCTGCCCCAGAGGACCTACCTGCACGGGCAGGGGATGAGGCAGTTCTCCGAATGCTGGCTCTGCAGCCAGAGGCCCAGAGGCCCCAGCTGTGCTTCACTTCGCCCTGATATATGTCCAGAGAGGCTGCAAAGCAGGGCAAGGCGAGGGGTGGAAATGGCCCTTCCCCTTCCTCCTGGTGTGCCCCTCTGTTTCCCTCCCCTGGCCCTCTTGCAGCCTGGTACCAAAGGCTCTTCTCCCCTTTCCAGCAGTAGCCAGCACTGGATGCTTCACAGGAAGGTGTAAAAGCCACCAGTGCCCCCCTGTGCTTAGCTAGCACTGGCTTCCTCCTAACCCCAGCTGCTGACTAGCTGATTTCCTGGCCTGGGGAGGAAATACTCCCTGGGCTGCATGCAGGGGTGGGAGCCAACCCCTGCTCTGCATGCGGTGCCCACCGCCCTCACCCACTAGAGCCAGTGGGGTCAGTGCGCAGTGGGCTCTAGCCCAGGCAGTGCTGGGCTCTGTTGTACACAGGCCTGGTTCTGTTCCTGGCTCCAACCACTAGGCTGGGCTCTGGCTCTACCCTCTAGGTTAGACTCCCTCTGTCCCGGTCACTCCCCCAGCACTGCCAGGGTGGGGAGACCTCCCTGGCATGTTTGTGACAAGCCATATGCCCCATCATGAACGAGGGGGAATCACAGTGAGTGAGAGACAAAGGAGGGCTTAGACAACACACAGGTCTCCTTCCTTCCCGGGGGGAGGGCTGGGGGGGGGGGGCTCAGCAACCCCATCCCGTTCCTGTCCTGCTCCCCCCACCTGCCTTGCCATGCTCAGCTGCTCCTACTTCCATGGGGAGTGGGCTGCTCAGTGCCAGGGGGGCTTCCAGCCACAGCCCCTGGAGTGGGCCCCACCATCTCCTGGGTGCAGGGCAGGAATCAGCTCTGCTGACCCCAGGGCTCCCGTGCTCCCTGGAGATCCAGCTGCCCTCAAGCCATTAGAAGGGCCCACTGGCATCAAGGGCTCAGCAGCCAGCCCTTGGCCCGGTGGCGGATCGTAGCTGAAGACGGGGAGCATGCAGCAAGAGGAGGCGGGAGCTGGACTTGAGGACGCAGGGAGGTGGAGAACTAAGGAAAGGAGATGCGACGGATGCCAAGGCTGGAAGGGAGCAGGGCATGGGGACCTGGTGGGGCCTTGGGGAGGATGGCTGTTAACGTTTAACTCCAAATGGCCCAAGGCGACATGGCACTGGACACCTTCCAAGCCTAATAAATGTTACACAGACCACTGGGACTCCGAGACATGCTGCCAAGAGCAACTGCAGCTCCCAGCATGAACTCCTTCCCCCAGCTGGCTCCCGGCTCAGCCTCGAAGGGAGGGGGCCGATCTTCCCCCCGTGTCCCATCCCATCTCCATGGCAATGCAAACCTGCCCCACTCCCAGCAGCGCTAACCTGGGAGGGTCCGTCTCCGTGTCCATGCAGTCCTGAGCTTCCCCCAAAGATGCCCTGGGAGCAGGGGGCTCCCTGGGTGCGCATCCCCAGCCCTGACCTGGAGGTGCAGCACTCCCTCAAGGAAGGATTAGCATGCCATGGACTAGGCTGATGTCATTTATTTGGACTTTCCAAATCCTTTGTCAGACCTCCCCCCCCCAGCCTATTAAGGAATTGACAGGGAAAGAGGCAAAGCGCCGTCCTGGGTCTGAAAGTGGCAAAGAGACTGAGCAGGATTAAATGGCCTAGTTCCAACCTGGGTAAAGGTTCATCGCAGGGTGCGATGTGGCTCTGTGCTAGGGTCGGAGCAGTCTGCTACAGTAATAATCCCTAGCTCTTAGCTAGCGCTTTTCATCGAGGGTCAGTGTCCTCATCCCCATTTCACAGGTGGGGAAACTGAGGCACTGAGTGGGGAAGGGACTTGTCCAAAGTCACCCAGCAGGCCAGCGGCAGAGATGGGAATTGAACCCAAATCTCCTGAGACCAGCCCAATGCACTATTCACTAGGCCAAACTGACAAGTATGTTTAATGTCTTACATACAGGGACTGCCTTTGTGTTCTGTGGTTGTACAGCACCTAGCACACTGGGTCCTGCTCCATGACTGGGGTGCGTAGACGATACCATAATATAAATATAATAACCTCGAAAAGGAGTCGAGCAATGAGGCAGCAGCACTTTGCAGATGACCCAAGAGGAAGAAGACTAGAGCGGTCTGGGAGGAAATTCAGAGGGACCAAACTGCACGAGGGCATTGGGCAGCAGAGGAAATGCCATGCTGACAAACACAAAGCAATGCCGATTGGGAGGGATGATCTGAACTACTCACATCTAACTGAGTTCCAAATGAACTGTGGCATCTCAGGAGAAAGGCCTGGGAAGTACAACAGGCAGTTCCATAGAGACCTCTGCTCAATGCACAGCTGGGGTCCGAAAAGCAACCAAGACATTAGGATGCAACAGGAATGGGATGGAGAAAAATAGGGGAACTGTTATAATGCCTTTATCTAAATCAATGTGCTGGCCTCAGCTAGGATACTGCATACTGGCTGCCCTGCCTCCAAAAGGGACAGCAGAAATAGAGACGGGGGGTGTCAGAGACTGGCAGTGTGAATGGTCAGAGAATTCTGACTGAGGCGAGACTGAAAGGGTTTGGGGCTGCTGAGAGGAGACAAAGGAGAGGGGCTATGACAGAGGGGTACAAGGAAACAAGTTACAGAAGGCCAGTCAGGCGTTCCTAGCCTCCCGCCTTTGGCACACAAGGACAAATGGGCGTTCAATGGCACTGAAAGGCAGCTGAATTAAGACCGACCATGGAAATACTCGTCTAGAAATGCATAAGTAGCTGGGGAACTCATTGCCACAAGATATCAAGGGTAGCGCTGAGGTTCAGAGCTGAGTAGCAGTAAAAACGGATTAGACATGACTCTGGATTAGAAGAATGTCCAGTTACACCAGAGAGGGGCTACAAATCCTCCTGCTTCAGGGAATGAGCGAACCTCTAACCGATGGGTCCAGGTTCTTCCCCCCTGGGAGGGGTGTTCCACTGGGTGGGTTCCGGTATCTTCTTCTGAAGCAGCTGGAGAGAGGAGGGTGGACAGGACAGATCCCCGCCCTGATTCCTACATCCCAGCTCTAAAAAAACTGTCAAGAAAAGGAACATCCCCCATGGACCAGCCAGCCAACATCATCCATGGGGCAAAATCTGTGGCTGGGCTACGCCCGACCCAGAGCCCACTGAATGAGGGAGGCAACCTAGTGACAGAGGATGTGGAAAAAGCTAATGTACTCAATGCTTTTTTTGCCTCTGTCTTCACAAACAAGGTCAGCTCCCAGACTGCTGCACTGGGCAGCACAGGATGGGGAGGAGGTGACCAGCACTCTGTGGAGAAAGAAGTGGTTCAGGACTATTTAGAAAAACTGGATGAGCACAAATCCATGGGGCCGGATGCGCTGCATCCGAGGGTGCTAAAGGAGTTGGCGGATGTGATTGCAGAGCCATTGGCCATTATCTTTGAAAACTCATGGAGACTGGGGGAGGTCCCGGATGACTGGAAAAAGGCTAATGTAGTGCCCATCTTTAAAAAAGGGAAGAAGGAGGATCCGGGGAACTACAGACCAGTCGGCCTCACCTCAGTCCCTGGAAAAATCAGGGAGCAGGTCCTCAAGGAATCAATTCTGAAGCACTTAGAGGAGAGGAAAGTGATCAGGATCAGTCAGCATGGATTCACCAAGGGCAAGTCATGCCTGACTAGCTAATTGCCTTCTGTGAGGAGATAACTGGGTCTGTGGATGAGGGGAAAGCAGTGGATGTGTTATTCCTTGATTTTAGCAAAGCTTTTGATACTGTCTCCCACAGTATTCTTGCCAGCAAGTTAAAGAAATATGGGCTGGATGAATGGACTATAAGGTGGATAGAAAGCTGGCTAGATCATCAGGCTCAACGGGTAGTGATCAATGGCTCCATGTCTAGTTGGCAGCCGGTATCAAGCGGAGTGCCCCAAGGGTTGGTCCTGGGGCCGGTTTTGTTCAGTATCTTCATTAATGATATGGAAGATGGCGCGGACTGCACCCTCAGCAAGTTTGCAGATGACACTAAACTGGGAGGAGTGGTAGATATGCTGGAGGGTAGGGATAGGATACAGAGGGACCTAGACAAATTAGAGGACTGGGCCAAAAGAAACCTGATGAGGTTCAACAAGGACAAGTGCAGAGTCCTGCACTTAGGAAGGAAGAATCCCATTCATTGTTACAGACTAGGGACCAAGTGGCTAGGCAGCAGTTCTGTAGAAAAGGACCTAGGGGTTATGGTGGACGAGAAGCTGGATATGAGTCATCAGTGTGTCCTCGTTGCCAAAAAGACTAACGGCATTTTGGGCTGTATAAGTAGGGGCATTGGCAGCAGATCGAGGGACGTGATCATTCCCCTCTATTCGACCTTGGTGAGGCCTCACCTGGAATACTTGTCCAGTTTTGGGCCCCACGCTACAAGAAGGATGTGGAAAAATTGGAAAGAGTCCAGCAGAGGGCAACAAAAATGATTAGGGGACTGGAGCACATGACTTATGAGGAGAGGCTGAGGGAACTGGGATTGTTTAGTCTGCAGAAGAGAAGAATGAGGGGGGATTTGATAGCAGCCTTCAACTACCTGAAGGGAGGTTCCAAAGAGGACGGACTGAGCTAGGCTGTTCTCAGTGGTGGCAGATGACAGAACAAGGAGCAATGGTCTCAAGTTGCAGTGGGGGAGGTCTAGGTTGGATATTAGGAAACACTAGTTCACTAGGAGGGTGGTGAAGCACTGGAATGGGTTACCTAGGGAGGTGGTGGAATCTCCTTCCTTAGAGGTTTTTAAGGCCCGGCTTGACAAAGCCCTGGCTGGGATGATTTAGTTGGGGATTGGTCCTGCTTTGAGCAGGGGGTTGGACTAGATGACCTCCTGAGGTCTCTTCCAACCCTGATATTTGATGATTTGATGATTCTATGGTGTCAGTGGGATCCTGCCTGCAAAGTTCAGGGCTTTGGATCAGGGCCAAAGCAAGAGTGCAGCTGGGATTGGCTCCTCCTCCCTCTCCACCCCCCCCCACTGCCAGCCAAGAAGCACTGAGCACTGGTGTAGCTTGCAAATAAATGCCAGCCAATGCCAGGTGTCTGGGCTCTGCAGGGACCGGGGTGGCAGTTGTGATGCCCCTATGCCTGCCTGGTTGTCCAAAGCTGGCATCAATGTACAGGGATCCGTGGTGGCCCCCAGCTCCTGGAGCAGTGTCCTTTGTCCAAGACTCACCTGGCGGTCCAGCGGGACCCTTGTCTCCAGGGATTCCTGATGGCCCCTGGCTCCCAGCATCTCCCTTGGGACCCAACGGGCCTGGGGGTCCTTGGGGCCCTGGTTTCCCTGCAACAGAAAGAGCAAAAGGAAATACCCAGTTAGGTGCCAGTGCAGCATTTGCCAGGGGCTGTGCGTCCTTGGAAGGACAGAAGGAGAGCAAGGTACCTCTTTGAGCAACCCCAGGGATCCTAACCCCCAATCCGAACCCCTAAGGAGGAGGATGGCCACGTCCCTGGGCAATGGATTGCGGTGCGGCTGCCACAGTCAGAAACCAACGGGAGTGGAGCTTGGAGGTGCTGTAAGGGGCTGGGCTGAGAGGTCCAAGTGGGGGAGCTCTCTATCCACAGCCCCAGTCTGCGGTGGGACAAGCCTCCCCCCATGCTGGCCCCTGCCAATGGGCCTCACCCCCTGCTGTTTAGTGTCCACAGCCTCCGTCCTGAGACAGCTGATGGGGGGCCTTAGGCTCCCCTCGCCCCGGAGCTGCACCTGCTGGGGCCATGCCGGGGTAGCATTCTGAGGGGCACACCTGTCCCCCAAGAACTCAGTGCCCATGGGCGCTTTAAGGTAACGGCTCTCAGCTGGAACCCAGCTGGGGGCACGGGAACCTGTGACCTGGCAGCGAAGGGCTGTGTCTCGTTGCCCCAAGCCAGCCAGTGCCCACACCCAACCCGGGATGCGCACATCTCACTTAGTGAAACGTTCTAGACAGGATCTGGTCAGCTCAATGCCAGGCCAGAGGCCTCACGCCCTGTGGCACCCTACAGACTCCATAGGCAGGGGCAGGGCGATCACTTGGGGAAACCCCCATCAGGGCACTGCACCTCTCCTTCCTCCGGCCGCAGGCTTGGGAACGCTCCTACCCACCACTGGCCGCACTCCAGCTCCCCCTCGACCCCTGGGCCCGCTCTCAGCTCCTCTCTGCAGAGGATGAAGTGGGGCTGGAGCCCGGCTCACACACAGTGCCCCGACGGCAGCAGCCACAGGCGTCACCATGCCGGGAATCATGATCCCCTGGTCATGACGGCTGCACTGTGGCTGGCCTGTGCCCGTGCCCGCCTGCAGTGGAGCCTGCCCGCACCCCGCCCACCTGCAGTGGGGCCCGCCCGCACCCCGCCCGTCTGCAGTGGGGCCCGCCCGCACCCCGCCGGCCTGCACTGGGGCCCGCCCGTACCCCACCCGCCTGCAGTGGGGCCCGCCCGCACCCCGCCGGCCTGCACTGGGGTCAGCCCGCACCACGCCCGCCTGCGCTGGGGTCAACCCGCACCCCGCCCGCCTGCACTAGGGCCCGGCCCACACCCCGCCCGCCTGCACTGGGGTCAGCCCGCACCACGCCCGCCTGCGCTGGGGTCAGCCCGCACCCCACCCGCCTGCACTGGGGTCAACCCGCACCCCACCCGCCTGCTCTGGGGTCAGCCCACACCCCACCCGCCTGTGCTGGGGTCAGCCCACACCCCGCCTGCCTGCGCTGGGGTCTGGCCCACACCCCGCCGGCCTGCGCTGGGGTCCGGCCCGCACCCCGCTGGCCTGCACTGGGGTCAGCTCACACCCCGCCCGCCTGCACTAGGGCCCGGCCCACACCCCCCCCGCC